CCGCTCCCATTCTTGTTGTTTTTGAGCTCAGGTGAAAAACTCAGAGCGGAAGCACTGTAGGTTTTTGGGTCGTGTAGTTTTTTTGACTCGCATTATAGTGTAGACTTCAAGGGTACTGGATTTTTTCTTTCTATTTTATTTTATTTTTTGGCATCGATCCTAGTTTTTTTTTAGCTATTGGTTTGCACCCGCTCCCGTCTGCTTCCGTTAATGTGTAATCCTGTACCGTCCCAATCACGTGATCGTTACTAATACTGACTCCCATCCCACGGGAATACCATGGGAATCCCGCGACCCGTGGGATTCCCGAAAAAATGTCTGGTGCACCTCCCCCAAAATTGACGGCAGACAGGAGGCCTCTGATTGGTCAATTCTATATCCACTCTACACTGCATGTATTTCCTGTTTGGTACCTAATGGCAGAAACTCTGGCTGTAGTGCCATCCACAATGCCTGGCACACCTCGGACACTATCCCAGACACCGTGCAAGATGCGAGTTTGTAGCTCTGTTCGACGGTCTCTTGGTTTGCACCCGAAGCCAAAACATGCAGCTACACGGCAAGACTTTGGGGAACACTCACAGGTGAACTGTGTGTCGTCCGGCGTTGGATGAGGGGTTGTAGACGGCGGAAAACCTCGTCAAACCCACACACAGACACCCAGAATCCACAGCTAGTTCGTGATTGTCACTCTTGCGTTGTGTTGTGGAATAACAAAGCGCAGACCACGCTTCAAAATTGGACATAAATCCAAAATATCTGCGTGATATCTTCCACTAGCTAACAGCTAGCTAACTAGCTAACACTGCTGCGTACATGCTTAACCAGTATAACCAGCCCTTTAAAGAGAGAAAATTTGTGTGACAACGGAGGGACATGAGGGCCAAAAAGAGCGGGGATCCAGGTGGAAAAAGGGTCCCAGCGTTCTCGCGAAGTCCATCTTCACAAGTCGTTTTCCACAATGGCGGTCAAACAGGAAACAGGAAATACACAGTATGTAGAGTCTGTGGCACTGTCTGCTGTCACCTACACTTTTGGAGAGGTGCATCCAAGTGTGGAAGGGGCGGGGGGCACATTTGCACACATGCAGACGTCTTGGTTTCTGAGTATATATATATATGCATATATATGTATATATATATATATATATATATATATATCTCAGCCTTAAGATGATCTAAAGGAAGCGTACCTTGGTTTTGAGAGAAGAGTGTCGAGTGACAGAGTTGAGGATGTTATGAACGCTGACTGGACGTTTGTCTCCAAAGTCTTTTAATTGAGCTCCACCGGGTAGAGACGCCGTTCTGGCACCTCCTGCCCCACTGCTGCTGGCTCCTGGACCAGTGCCGTCGCTCTCTGATCTGAATGCTCTTCGGACATTTCCGTGCTCAGGGCGCTTCTTCAGCCTGGAACACAGAACATGGTAAGAACCGCAAACACCTCAAATAGTCGTGCTCTGTGGATGAAAGACCCACTTGAGGTTGGCGAGGTAGATGTCAGCCACATGGCCTCCTGTGGGGGAGGGGGCGCTGCCCCGAGCGGACACCCTCTCCTCCAGCATCTCCCTGCTGTCCACATCAGGCTTTGGACTTCCACGATCGACTTCGCTTCTGAAAATGCAGAAAAAAACCCTCAGAAGTTTCACAGAAGCTACATAAAACAGGACAATCCTGGAAAAAACAGAGTTCAGGACGACGGCCCCAAAACAGCTATAAGAGCAACAATATAGAGGTTTCAGTCCCAAACTAAATCCTAAAAGCAACACTGGCTAAATGAATCAGTCTGTTTCTGTGGTTTGAATCGGAGAGTAGATTACTTTAGCCCAGCAGGTTGAGAGGTGGTGGAGTTATAAACTCAGGCATTCTAGATGAAATTCTGCATCAGAAATCTGTCTGTCAGCTATTCCAAAAACAAAGTTAAAAACAATCCACTGGACTTTGTTTCCAAGTTTGAAGACGTTTCGCTTCCCATCCAGGAAGCTTTTTCAATTCAAAATGACAGTAACAGAGTTGAGTTTG